GCAGGATCCTCAACTCCACCATCTCATGGTCACTGCAGCCAAGGCTGCCCCCAACCTTCACATCTCCAACCAGACCTTCTTTGTTTGTTAGTACAAGGTCTAGCAATGCACCTCTCCTCGTTGGCGTCTCCACCACCTGTGTCAAGAAATTATCCTCAGTGCTCTGCAGGAACTTCCTGGACTGTTTGTGCCTAGCTGTGCTCTCTTCCCAGCAGGTGTCAGGGTGGTTCAAGTCCCCCATGAGAACTAGGGCCTGTGATCATGAGGCTACTTCCAGCTGTCTGTAGAAGGCCTCATCGACTTCCTCTTCCTGATCAGGTGGCCTGTAGTAAACCCCCACCACAGTGTCACCCATGTTAGCCTGCCCTTTAATCCTTACCCATAAGCTCTCAACTTGCTCCTTAAGTGTGTTGCTGCAAAACACAATGTCTCCGTGTATGGGTACAGAATTGTGCTATATCCACTATTTCTCACTGGTCATGAGCAAGAAGACCTTTCCGTGAATCCGAGCCTGTTTTGTACTGTGTGGCCCTGGGTGCCTCTGCAGGGTGAGTGCAGAGTGCCTTAAAACCTTGGCCTTTCTCCTCTGCTAACATTTGATCCCCTCGATGTAGCTCCACACTGCATCATAAGGCCCAAAGCAGCAGCAAATCAGGCCTGTAGCAGCAGCAAATCAGGCCTGTGTGCACAGACTTTTTCTATGTATATAGAAAAGCTCTGGTTTCCCTGGCTTTTCTTTACCAGCCTCATTTCAAATTAGATGATCTCTTACAGCTTTTGGCTTCCCTCTATACCTTGCTACCGAGTTGCTCTCCAGAGATATTTGTTTCCAAACCTTAAGTTATTTCCTCTAAATGTAATCTAAATTAAAGGAGGCAGAAAAGGGTGGTCTCTTAGTAAAAAAGTGGTCCATTTTCCAAATTTCCCCAGTGGCCATTTTTAATTAAAAGGCAGCAGTTCTGAGGAGGGGAGCAGAGGTGTGCTAAGTCTTTCCCCTGGCTGGTACCTCATTTCTTTTGCCTCTTTGTGCCTTTGCAAGTCTAGAAAAATCCCTGTTGGATGCTAACTGTCCTGATTGTAACATCTGCACCAGGGGTTCAGTATTTTCCTCCCCAAACCCAGCTTTTGGAGAGTGTCCTGGTCCATAGCAGAGGAGCGCCTGCACCAATTAAAGGGCATTTTGGAAAACTGATTATTCTCCTCGGGACTTACCAAATAAAAAGAAATGGATTCATTTAGGCAGTATAGGATTACAGTACTTGGATCAATGGATTTACAAATAATATAACTTTACTAATTCCAGTTAAACAATCAATACAAACATACAGTAACTATATACAGTGGTATTTAGTGAAAGCTTCCAGGAAAAACAAGGCAAATAAGGTTCCAAAGTAAATAAGATTATGAATGGTATCGACGTGTCTATATAAAAAAAAGGAGAAGGTGTCGGGGGAGGAGATTGCCCTGATCAGGCCACGCTGGGCAGGCATGCTGGTCCCCGGGAACTAAGCCCAAAAACGATCTAGCCACACCAGATGGTGTGCTGATCCCTGGTATACACCGTAACCTGTATCCGTGATCCAGCCACAATGAATGGGGTATGCTGATCCCCAGGAGCAATGCCCGTATTAGTCAACTCACAGATCCTCGTGCAGCTGCGTGAACTGGCACGTCCTGGTCCGGCGTCCCATCTCAGGAGGGAGTGGGCAGTAAGGAGGGCGTTGGGGGAGCACGGTTTCCTCTGCTGATGGCTGTCCAGCAGCCTTCGATAGGAGGTTGACGTCATCGCTTGATTAAGGTGAGGCTATGGCCTAAAATGACTTTGCTCTTATGAGCCCCGCCACCTCTTCTCTCTCCCCCTCTCTTTCTTCTGTTGCCATGCCGACTCCAACTGCCGACTGCCAACAACAACAAAAAACCACATGCCGTGCCGGCAGCCACCTTTTATAGCTAAGGCCTAATTGTGGGCGTAGTCATACTGAACCTTGTTTCTGCCTCCTTTCTGGAAAGTTCCCTGTGATTGACAGCCAGGGACCCTAGCAACATGTGACTTCTCATCGCCAATGATTTTAAATGAACACTGGCGGGAATTCTGATCAGAGCTGGGCACTCTGATGGGGGTCAAATAAAGGTTAACTGCATAACATTACATGCAAACTCCAACAGAGAGTAACAGGGCCAGCTAGGAAGGACAAAGCAGCTCAGGTTCAGGATTTTGCAGCAATCTTGGCACCAGGTGAGTGCAGCCCTGCCAGATTATGCACAAAATGGCCAACCAGCAGCAGATGCCAGGGGAGCCTGGAAAGCAGCCCAGCTACCTCCTTTCAGCCCCGGACAAAGGCATTGCCGGGCTCCTCGTGGGCTTTCTGCCCCTGGCCCAAGCCCCATGTGGCATCCTGAGAGTGAAAGCCGCCCCACCGCCCGGCCGAAGCAGCGCAGCGCGGCTCCGCGGTGGCAGGCAGAGGCTAAATTAGCCAGGGCCCGCGCCCACCATGGCCATGTCGGAGCAGTCTCCAACGTCCCCTCAGGGAGAGGAGGGAGGAAGGAAGAGCAGGGCTCCCCTTACTGTTAATGTGCTGCTAAGCCAACTTTAATGCCTTTGCTCAGCTGCCAGTGGAAGACCTTCCTCTCTCGCTGCTCACTGAGTTATTTTTGCCATCTGTGTGATGAATATTGGCCTTTTCGATACCTCAGGAGAGAGGTAAATTGCAATGTACATCTATTTAAGCTGCTGTTGTAATCTAGAGAGCTCCTTCTCTGGTTTCATGTATATATTCATATTTTAGCCATGTAGTGAGTACAGTCTTTTTCACCCTGCTTTAATTCCACCCTCTAGTACAAACATTTACCATGCAAATGTATGCAAACCACACTTTCCACTGCCCAATTCACACAGAGAAAATTTCTCCCTCCCCAGTGTGTTTTAAGGCCATTTCCATCAGTTCAAACACTGATTATTCATTATATTAAGTATCAGAGCTGCAAGCTGATGACAGCCAGGAAACCATAAGCTGCCTCGAAGCTTGTCTTCCTATCAGCTCCTGCAACTGAGTGATATGGGATTTTTTTCTGCCATTGAAACTATTAGGTTGCGGCAGTTTGTTTGGTTTCAGCTTACCATAATTGCTGCCATTTCCACGGCTGATTTGGGCTATGTTTGAAGTTGACATACGATACGAAGTGTGCTACATGTGTTGCTGCTCTCCATGCTTCAAGAAATTAGAGAGGGAGAGTGTGTGTATATGTGCTTGTGTGCATATATATAAACATCTGCCATGTAGCTGTCTTCTACTTACTCATGTCTCTGAGGGGTTTACTCTACCAAAGGCAACTGAGTGTCTTAACTGCTCTCTCAGTGATAGACATTCAGGTTCCTGCTACTGGGGGAATTCATTTTGGTTGAGTGGGAGCAGACACTGAAGGTAGGGGGAAAAACAGGATGTCCAGCAGAGGGTATTTAATATAAATATAGTTACAGGCCATGAGCCTCAAAGAACTGGACCATGCAGGTGTATGTGGATGTGAAGCCATCGAGTGACGTTTGTTCATGGTCCAGGAGCTCCCGTCCCTCCTGGAAGCATGGTAATTCAGTGCAGACTCTGAGTTGCTCTTGCCACGGGCACTGAGGCCAGTATGCATTTATGGCACGGGGACCTGGACGGAGCCCTGTTCCTGGGAAGGAAAGGCAATGGCTGGTACGTGAGACAGGACGGGCTTGTGTTGAAGGTGCTGGCATGGGATGTCAGGACAACAGGGTAAAAGTCCTTCCTCGAGTGAATCTCTCTATGTCTCAGGTTCCCATTTGAAGGATAACAAAACTGCCTTCGGTCACCTTCTGCCCCATTTGTGCTATAAGCTCCTTCAAGGGAGGACCCCTTTGTAGTATATGTTGTTACATTACACAGTGTAATGGCAAAATAGGCACTGATCATAACTGTTACACAGGCACTTGAGTATCCAATGAAAAGGAGAATAGTGAAGCATACTGCAGTATGTTTTCATTGATAAAAATGGGATAAATAAAAGGAAGATGGATAGTTTCATATTTTCCTTTAATAATATTTACAGGCCTCCTGTGAGTCTTATCTTCCTTACACTGCCTTAAAGATGATCAACAGAATTTGTCCCTTTGACTCTTCAAGAGTTACTCATTCAAGGGATTAGGAAGCCAGTGGCTCTTTTCTGAAACCATGTGAGGACCCAGAGGAGGAGAAAATTGCTCATGGGTCAGAGGGTGGAAGGACATTTCTTTTTGCTTAATCTCATTCTGATTTGTTTCTTTTAGCCGTCCCCAGCCTGTAGCACACCTGGTAGGCACAGTAACATATTATCCAGCAGGGATAAATGTAAAAAGATGGAGATAGGAGAGAGAAGTATAGAAATGTGGTATGTTGGACTAACTGCAGTGGGTAAACTGGAAATAGTTTCCCATGCGTGCCTAAAGCCCTGCCCATGATGGCGATGGGATGCAGGCTGCTGTGAAAGGATCATTCTGCTCCACATTCTATTTTTCTCTAATGGGAAGAAACAATATTTTGTGGCAAGTAACTTAGCAAGAGAAAGATATGCACTGAAAACAGCCATCTCACTGTCCCATGCGGTGGAAATTGTGCCCAGCATCCCTGCCGCCTTACCACCGCTGTATGCACGCTCAGGTGGGCCACTCGATGCAGCAGGACAAGAGTTTTGGATACAAACACGATGAGCACTTGACATCCTTACAACAAGAGCAGCCATATGTACCTCTCTGCTGTTATTGTAAAATCACTCAGAGGATGAGGACTCGAGGACAGAGCTCCTGGCTGTGCACTGCACTAGCCCAATATCCTGTCTCCAGCAGTGGCCAAAAGCAGATGCCTACAGAAGAGTGGAAGAATGGCATCAAGCATATGTGATACTCTAGGATGCTCCAACAATTTGCAGCTGAGGAACTTCCTGTTGGCAGGGAGTTTTTCATTTCAGGAAGGATCTGGAGCTCCCCCCTGGGCAAACTTTAATTTTTGCCTTTTCCTCAGGCCTCCTTCACACCTCCCCTAAGAAAAGCTTAATTTTTCAGGAAGAGTGACATGACTTTTTCCAGAGTCTATTAACACTGATATGAGACAGCTGCCTAAGAGAAACTCAATAGAATTAGTGTCCTTGACATAAGTATCATTTCTTCCTGAGTGATACCCACCTGGTGAATAAGAAACTGGCTTTGTTCTCAAAACATCAGCAGTACATACTCCTTCTGGGACTAGTCTCTGGCTTTTGGGCAACTGTGGCCACAAAGCTTTGCCTTGTGGTGGCTCAGGCAGCACGAGGCTGGAGGGCTGAAGCCCAGCTCTGCCACTGGGGGCAAGCTGTTTTGCCTCCCTTCATCATAGTTTATTTCCTGGAAAATAGGGACAATTAAGCCTCCGTTCCTTGGCCAAGTGCTTTGAGATCAGTGGGTCAAATGATACATAGGAGCTGAATATCACTGTATATCATTGAATATTGTAGCATGAGGATGCAACAGCTCATGGCCTGTCCATTGCTCCCACAAAGGCTGCTCGTGAGTTTATTTTTGTAACCCTCTGTCCTTCTTTTTATTTTTTGTCCAGATTTGCCAGGTTGGAGAAGCTCTTCCAGCAGAGGGAAGCCAGGACTCGAGCCCCAGTGCTGGGGCTGGGACCCGTCCTCCCCTGCCCATTGTCCCTGCTCCCAGGTGCTTGTGGCCAGAGCAGGGACTGGGGCCACCTGCCTGCCCAAAGGTGACGAAATGCCATGGGAGCCAAACGCAGGCGATGGCCACAGCTCTGCAGATAAGCAGTGACTGTCTAACGTGAGCCGTCCTTGCCAACACGGCCATTTGCAGACCCTTCTTTCTCCCCCCTCGACGAACGGCTCATTTCAGTACCTCACGGTGCACCATCTGAAGCCTTCCCTATCATTACGGCTGCAGGAGTGTGATCTGTTGCTAAATGTATATTTGTAAAGCAAAGTAATAATGTACCCCATGGAGAGAAGGGATTCAGTTCCTCCCTGCGAGCAGCTTTTGTTGTGCTGAATGAAATAGCAGGTTACAACAGCCTTTTGTTTTTCAGACTGATATTCAAATCATGCATTTTTGACCCATTAGTCCTCCATCCAAGCTCACATATTTTTGGAAACAGTACACAGGGGCTGTGGACAGTGCATTTGCTGATGCCAACTGTAATCAGGAGCATTTCACAGGAATGGTTGCTGGCAGCTGCAGTGCTGACTGCGGAAAAGAAGAGTGAATGAAAAGAAGTTACAGTAACACAAGCCAAATTAAAACAAGAATAAAATCCTCCCCTCTCATATTTGCAATCGTTTTGCTGTTTCTGCGAGCACTCTGCTTCCTGCAGGCCTCCTCCTCTCAGTCTCCTTGCAGGGGTCCCCAAGCCCCCAAGCTCAGGACCAAAATCTCAGCTGGGCGCAGGGTGTAGAACGGACATGCAGGCAAGCCAAACCTCAACTGGAATTAAAAAAAGGCAAGGGCAAGTTGCCAACTTACTGCACAGATGTCCGATAATAATTCAGAAAACACTTCCCAAAGCCAAGGAGAAAAAGAGCTTGCCCCTAATGGCAATCTATAGAAGCGCGTTATCTGAGGGTTTTGTGATTTTGCTATTGTTGTCAGCTCATCCTTGTTGCAGACCGGTGTGAGCAGATCATGCTCTGCCAGCAGATGGTTGGTGATAGCCACAGCCAGCTTGAGTTGAGCACAACAGCTAGGTCTACGGGAGCACAGCTATTCTGATTTCCTGTTTAAAAAAAAATAAAGTAAGTTTTTCTTTGTTGGGGGGGAGGTCTTGTCTCTGCCTTATCAGGAAGTGGTTGCAAAAGTAAATGAGAATAAAGCAGATTAAACTGGAGGGGACTTTTTCAAG